AAGCGTCAAATAAGTGCATTTTGAGGAAACTGTACACTGGCTGGTGTGTTTTGCATATTGTTTTTGTACACGGAACTAAATTACCAACAAATTAGGGGTTTGAATTCTAATTTAAATGCACATATATTATTATCAACACTTAAATGTTTGTCATGGATTGCATATATTGTGCTGGTTTGAAGATCATATTTCCAGTTTCCATTCACACAGTTTCCAATCACATCAGGGAGCCTAAAGTCCTTTCAGGCGATAACATAGCTGAGCGACCATCCTCCAAATGTATGTTTTCTTATTCAGGGAGGATCTTTGAAATGAGTTGGAATAACTAAATTACAGCTAAAATCTAGTCTAATTGTGTATTCACACTTCTGCTGGATTCAACTTAAGTGCTGTTGTTCTCTTTAGTTGCTCTGAGGGTTTTTGCTCTTGTTTATTCTTCTGGCTTGTCTGTGGGATGCATCCTAATTTCACATTGTCGTGGATGCACTAGCAGCATGAAAACAAGGTTATCACCCAAAGAACAGGGCTCTTTTTAAGTCGTATAGTTGCTTCAGCAGACCTGTGCTGTTGTGTGCCCTCATGTTCAGCCAGCCAGATAAACTAACAGTGTGTCCTCAGGCGCCCCATGAGACAGCCACTGACCTGGCTAATATGAGTGTCTGCCCCCTGCGCACACACATGCATATAAACACACAAACACAAATGCATTTGTGCATACACACAAACAGAATCATACACACCAGTCTATAGTGTCCAGCATATCTGACTACAGCTCAAAAAGTAAAATCTAGTGTGATGTAATAATCTAGCATCTCTTTCCTCTCTTCCTGTTCTCCCTTACCCTCTGCACTTTTACCACAAACATTTATGATCCTCTGTGCCTTGGTCCATTGTTTGCTGTGCTCCTATTTTAGTCTTTAGTTAATTTGCCAGCTCAAGCATGAATCCCATCTCTGTCTCTGAGCCTCAAGCCACTGTCACTGGAACAAGGAAAGATGTTTTATGTAAACTGTAATATAATGTCCTATTTGCCTGTTGAGTGTAACAATTCCCTAAGAAGTTCACCCAGCCTTGAAGGAAAATACCCACTGAGTCGCATAGTTTTTCACTCATGTTTATCATTTATATGCTACTTCGGATGCACCCAGGTCGCTTTTTAATGCCCAAGTTCAGTGTGTCTTGAAAACTCAAAGTCATATGCATTACATTTCTCTTTCAAACTGAATCACATTTCCACTGGGAGACAGTAGGAAACTAGTCTGCATATCACAACATATCAGTTTAGTTTACCAGCATTACACCAAATTTTATTCACAACCTTATAGTAAGGGTAAACTAAAGGGGGAGGGGGGGGCATGAAGACTCAATATTTTCTTGTTGAATGTCAGAAACGTGTGGAATTATCAAGTCAAGTCAAGTCAAGTTAAGTCAACTTTATTGTCAAGTATGCTATACATGCAAGCATAGATGAGATTTCAGTCCTCTCGGATACCACGGTGCAACAGGCAATAAAAAAATTAAAAAATTCTATATAATAGAAAAGACAAAAAATAAACAATCAACAAGACATAAAATAAACAGCAATCAACAATCAACACAGTTTATAGGCACTCAGGTATTTACATGGTGAAGAAGAGACAGCGAGCCGCTGCGGGTTGTGACGCGTCCGGCCAGATTTTAATGTCTCCGAGCCATGCAATATTCTTCAGCTCTTTCAGCCAGAACGCGCCGCCATTTTATGTTCAGAAATGATATTGCCCATTAGTCTTCACAAGAAAAAATGATCGGGTGGCAGATTTACAATGACATGACATCAGTATCAATATGTTCATGTCTTCCCTCGGTCATCAGCAGATACAGATGTACCATTATGTTCCTGTGAGGACCAAGAACAGTCAGGACAATCATCATCATCATCATCATTGGGATGGTGTTGTTTGTCTTTGTCATTAATAACGTGATGATGATGATGATGTTTCAGTCCTAATGGTGTTTTCAGTGTTTGTCCTCATTTCAAAAGTCTTATTACTCATGCAGCCCCCAAAGCCTAGAGCTTAGTCAGCACAGCTGGGACTGAGACACACACACACACACACACACTGGTAAGAGAGATAATAGATATCTGAAGATGTGAGAAATGCTCCCTTAGCTGGAAACCTAGTTCATCAAATAAAGATTGTGGATTCTCACGTCTCAGGGGTCTCATTACACTTATCTGCATCCCATGAGAATTCCTGATCAATTGATCACTCCCTCATGGTCTGCTACCTCCATCCCAATAAGGGTAGAAGGTCAATGTGATCCCTGAACATACATACAGTTATTATTATTATCATTTTTAACATTTTAGTCAAGGTTTTAAAACATTACAGAAAGAGGATATTTACTGGCTACATAGAGGTATGTATATTATGTATTTACTGTATATACTGTATTTTAGTTTAGGGTAGCAGTTATCAGACATTATCTACTGCAATTTTGTATGAATATTTCATTCTTAAAAATAAATGTTCTATACGTTTTACATGCTTATTAAAACACATTATCATTTGATGACAAACGGCCTGCAGGAGCTTCACTATGACCCCAATTAACACCTCACCTCTGCCCCCCAGCTTTTTTAATGACACCTCAGTGGATCTCTATTATATCAAGGTTCTCCAATGGCAAACACTCAGCTCTTCTGTCTGCTTTAATCATTATGGATGTGAATCAGCATTGCATTTTGTGTGTGTGTGTGTGTGTGTGTGTGTGTGTGTGTGTTCTTTTTAGTGTAACAATTTTAGGCTGAATAGAAAACAAAATTTTTGAAGGGAAACTAATTCCCTAAAGGAATGTGGAGTATTTTGACAAAATATTGGTAGTTTTAAGTACTATCAAATTTCTCTACTGGGGGTTTCTTTATCTCCATAAAGGGCTTTTAAATAGTTTCCACACACACACACACACACACAAAAAGAGGGCCCTAGTGACGTTACCACAAAGTATCTGAGGCCTCTTTACTCCCTCTGTAACATTACCCACTGGACACACACACACAAACACACACACAGAGGCAGCTACGAGGCAACTATAGTGTGCCCTTACACAGAATTAGTGACTTGGCCGTGCAGCATCTTGGCCTTGTGTGACAGTCTGTGCCATTAAACAGCATCCCTTTCTTCTCTCATTTATTACAGACTTGTGGGTCTCTGGAGCCCTGGGAGAAGAGGAGAAAGAAGACCTAAACTCCACCAGTGGTGCATAAAGTCCTACCAGTCGTCATCCCTGTGAATATTTGGATCTATTTGTTTTAGAATTCGACGGAATTAATTTTTTTTGTTTTTTTGCTCTGAGTGAGCTTGAAAGGGGAGAAATGGAGCCCACTACAACAACCAAACTGAGGGATGACAGAAGAAAGAGAAACAGCAGAGAGGTAAATGTCAGACAAAAAACTTCTTTAGCAATCAGAGGAAAGATCAATCTTTTTTTTTTTTTACTCCCTACCAATATTAGTCAGAGAAAGGAATAGAATAAGTGTCTATAAATGAAGAAAACATTCATACTGTGGTGGAAACTAACTAATTACTCAAGTACTGTATTTGAGCATCTCCTTTTGTGCTACTTAGTACTTCTACTCTGCTGCAATTCAGATGCAAATATTGTCCTTTTAACTGCATACAGGAATCAGCCCACCTTTACCAGCTGCAGCAATAAAGAGATGTACACATTAATGCATATAGTTAAAATTCAGTAACACATTTTACTCTGAAATGGGTCATTATGCATAATGAGCACTTTTACTTTTGGTACTTTAAGTATATTTTGATGCAATATGTTTTTACTAACATTTAATTTGACTGAAATATAATTTGTAAAGTATTCACTGTGCTATTGCTACTTTTACCATATCAAAAGATCTGAGAACGAGACATAATACATATATTACACATAATTGTGTGGGACATAAGGTGTGGAGGTATGGACTTTACTGCAAATTAAAGAATAGGTTCAGAAACCTTTTGTGCCGTTTCATGAGTATGGTCACGTTTGTGTTGATGGCGCCATCAGGTGGTTGAAACATGTCAAGACACTGCAGAATCATTTATTAATTTCTGCTTTGAGTGCCTGTAAACGGTGCACACAGGCCACACATCGTACGTCTCTGTCTGTCTCTTCCAGGTGGTTGATCCCGTCAGCGTTCTTCCCGAATCGTCCAGATGCAAGGTGGATCCCGACAACATGCTTGGCATTGTGGGTATTGTGGGCACAGTTCTCAACCTGCTGGTAGTGGTGTTAGTGTATATCTACACAGCTATCTGACATCACTGACTGTATGGATGGATTTATGGGGAAGCTGTTGGATGGAAAGGACAGATGTATGAATGGGACATCACCTAATTGATGAATGGAAGGAAGGACAACCAGAGGGAAGTGGCAGGGTGCTTTGAACGCAGGAAGGTGTTTTAGTAATACCACATACTATAACAATACAAAGACAGGCATTCTCTGACATTGTTAGAGCTGAGGATAATTTATTGGAATTAAACCTTTGTAGTTATGTTTCTAACTATGTTACCTAGAAGCTAAAGTCCCTTTCTATGAAGCAGTAAATGTTTGACCAACATTGTATATTTGGTTGTTTTTCTGTGAGTTAAAAATGCTTTGCACATATCTTCTATTGGAAATTGTAAATTCTACATAATCGCGGTTCATTGTTTTTCGTACTGTGTGTTTGTTTTCTGCCTGTTTGCTTTTTACATTGTTTTTGAAAATAAATTTACAACCATTTCAAGTGAGAATCATTTTCAGAATTGTCTCAGTTATCGCCACCTTTACTTTCATTAATACCTCTGCAAGCAGCCAGTACATTTCAAAATATGGGTGAGTTACATTTATTTTACAATTTCAATACACAGCGAAAAAAACAAACAAACAGAAAAATATAGGATGAGGAACTGTACATGTCTGCCTCTTTGACCTATCACAGAAGACCAGAAAACAACAAAGAGAAACAAGGATATGCTTCATAAGGGTTTATTTTGAGTTATATTAATATTTACACGAGTGCAGAAAAGAAACATTGGATATTTATATGCAAAATGTAATGTTTAATCCCTGAACAGAGATGTAAAACATAAGATGATAAGATTATTTTCTCTGAAACCTACCTTGACAGAGCTCCAGACAATACAATAATGAATATATAACAGTGTGTGAATGTTACATATATGTGTATTTGCTCATAAACACAGGTAAGCTAACAATGCTGATTTTTCCAGCTTGAATCCTACTTCAATATTTAAACAAAATCTGCCCATAATTATATGAAAACATCATGACATGTATCTTTGAAAAAATATATGTTGATTTGTTTCTTTAAGGGACAGGAGTAGTATAAGTGTTTGGATTACTGATGTTAATATCAGGCAGTATTTGGCAGCTAGTGATGATGTCAATCTTCTCGGACACAGCCTTCAGGTCATCCAGGATTAATCTGATGCTGTGGGATGCACTGATGATGGCGCCTTGTGAAGTATTCAGCTGAGCTGTTGCACTGTGAACCTTTTACACAAAAACAACCAGAGTCAAACAATTGCAACCACAGCTAGTTAGATATTACAAGATGCGTATCACAGGATTGTTGTTATTGTCAAGGAAATGACCGGAGTTATTGTCGCTTTTAACGTGATTCCATGTGACTGTCTTTCTAACTCTACGTTTCTGACATTACATCGTATGTTTTATTTTGTCACAGCCATCCTGGATGTTCAAATGACTACTAAGATTACATTATAGTATCTTTTTCTGTACCGTGCAGCATTAATCTAATTACTTTGCTTGTAAAGAACAAAATGTTTGGTGCTCAAATCCGCTAGAGAATACGTACAGTGGCCTATGTAATGTAAGTAATGGTGTGGTATTAAGGGCATTTGGGTAGACTTTTGAGTCAAATACATCTACATACCTCTCTACTGGCACTGCCATAAACGTGCCGTAGTGTCTGTCCCACGTCAAAATAAAGCCGGTTGTTAGATTCCTGCAGCTTCTGTTGTAAAAGGGTGTCACCTGGAAACAGAATTACATTTTAAAATAACTGAGATCTAACCTGGACAGGGCTTCCTCCATCTCATAGTTACTCATTCATTTGTCATCCATATCTAAGTATTTTATGTTTTAATCAGCAGATGTAGTTGCCTCCAATAATACACAGATGCAATTAAATGCTAGTAAGTGTACCTTCGTATTCTGTCACACACTGAGTATTGCCATTGGAGTATTTATTAATGTACTTATGTATCCTCACCATGTGGCCTGTGTGTGGGGCTTGGCCTGTCTTCCACTACGGACTGTATATCAGGATGGTCTCTAACTACGATGAGAGGAGGCAGGTCTCTCCTGAGTATCTGAGCGCTCTCCTGGCTCACTGTAGATGCTCTGTCCGTCTGATCCTCCTCACCCTCACTCTCTGT